AAAGAAGAGGAAAGATTAAGTGAGCAGTGGAACGGTCGTCATCAACTGAAGCAGCAGTCCAGAAGCAAGGGTAGGGGTGGCAAGGGGCCCGTCCTCAGCGGTAGGCCACGATTCCCGTCTCGTCCAGGAACTCCACCAGGCTCCGGAGCACTGGTAGATGGGGACGAGGTGGGAACAGTAGGTGCTCTAAGGTGGTGACAGGAAGGCCAAGTCTCCGGTAAGTAGCGGTGAGCCTCGAGCGTTGCTGAGCCAAGGCAGGGCAGGCACAGAGGATGTGCTCGAGGGTCTCGGGGTCGCCGCAGCGGCTGCAGGCTGGGGAGGCACAGCATCGCTTGAGGTAGTGGCGGGCCGTGGTCCACACGCATCTGGTCCGCAGCCGCAGCAGGTTGGCTCGTTCTCTCCTGGTGAGGCCTGCCTCAGGAAGACGCCTGGGTCCCCGCCCATTGACCACCCGATGGTCCGGGTGGACCGAGGCGAGGAGCTTCTTGATACGGGCCTGCGAGAAATCTCTCACCACCACGGCTTCGGTGATGGGGGTTCCCAGCTGATGTGCTGCCTTGGCCAGCGTGTCCGCCTCCTCGTTGCCAGCTATGCCCACGTGAGAGGGCAGCCAGTGGAAGAGAGTGTTCACGTTACTGGAGGGCAAAACTTGCAGTCCCGCCCGAGCGTTCGTGGATAAATAGCGGGCATCAATGTTCCGTGCGGGTAAGTTCCGGCTTGGAGTCTTCACCATGTCACCGCTTGTTCTCTACTCAAACATTTGTGGGCTGGCGGGTACCAAGCTTCTTCTGCTTCCTGTAGTGTGCCGAATTGTCTGCGTACTTCTTCGGTATGCGCTCATGCTCGTCGTGACAGCCGTCGGTACGTGATCCCAGCGTGTCGGAGATGGCTCGGCGTGCATTTTCTCGAGCCGCGGCGTGCGTCGCCTGGTTGCCCGCGAGAGACTCGTGTCCCGGTGTCCAAAGAATGGCTATTTCGTCCACCTTGGTGCTTCTTAATACATGTAGGGCTGCCTTTCCAATGCTTCCATTCATGTATCTTCTACACGCCTCTTGCGAATATGTGCACATTTGTGCAGTCCCTGTAGTAAGGAGTTGAGTTCGTAAGCGTAAGGAAGCCTGGCGGTTTGAACCACAGTGTTAGCATTGCTGAAGAAAGAAAACTTCATATACTATATATAGCGATATGGATTCAGTGGCTAGAATACCCATGTGTTTTTTTAAATGATAGTTGCAAAAAAAGTGAACGAACTTCTAAGTCATGCATTCTGTGCCGTGCTAAAAATCACTGTTCAAGTGACGTCGCAGACAGGTTGCTGGGTACACAAACATGGCGGCCACAATGAATTTTCACCTCTTTAGAGGGTGGCAGGGGAGGACAGATAGCCCTTACCTTCCCGCGTTCTTTCGTGCTTCCCCGTTTTATTTTGTTCGCCAGCCCCACTAAGGGTGAACACAAAGGAACGGGAGGGGGAACCGGCGCTAATCAGATGTCACAGTTTGTTTCTCTGCGTGTTTTAGTTTATGTAGCGTGTCAAAATACGAGCTGGTATCCGAATATTGCGGCCACGGTGGCGTCAATGTACACAATACATACATACATACATACATACATATATATATATATATATATATATATATATATATATATATATATATATATATATATATATATATATATATATGTGTGTGTGTGTGTGTGTGTGTGTGTGTGTGTGTGTGTGTGCGGGTGTGGGTGTGTATGTGTGTTGTGTTCGCTTGGAAACTTGAAGGGTGGTTCGTTTGCGATGACGCAAACAACAGAGAAAAAAATCGCAGTGAATGATGATGACAGGGGCGAAGCGTCTGTCCGTCCATGCGTCTAGACGGACATAGGCGTGAACGGATGGATGGAAACATGAAAGCATGGACGGACGGCTAGATGGAAGGCAGCATGAATGGATGGACGGGCGAACGGACTGACGGATGAACGGATGCTTCGGCCCAATCGTCATCATTAACTCCGTAGATATGCTGTGAATACTAACGCTATCTTGTTATATTATTCCCAAGGACATATACACACAACGCTATCTATTGAGCAACTGATTAAATAGAGGTGGCTACATACTACTACTACTACTGCTGCTGCTGCTGCTGTTACTACGACAACGGCAGAAGAAAAATGGCCCACGTCATAAAAAACTTCGGCCCTAAAAATTACACCATCTCCCACAATAGGCAACCATGTGTAGATTCAAAACAGCGGGTGCAAATGCTTACACTGGCGATGACGTTGACGCTGGCGCTCATCGGGACGTTGCGCAGGAGAAACTTGGGGAGGCGCAAAACACGCAGTGACGGACCGGTGTTTCTCACTGGAACATGCCCATTGCTGCTAGTGGGCAGTGAGAGGCAGAAGACTCCGACTGCACACAGAGACCTGCAGTCTGGGTTTAGTTAACGTGCACGGTGCAAATTTCTATTCTTCAATAATGCACAGGAGAAATCTTCCACCGGCACCACCTGTCCTTTCCCAGTGCGCATATTTACGATAAAGTGAGCTGGAATATATATCCTGGACTAGCCAGCCTCCACTCACTTGTTTCCTACATATGCTGAGAATGCCACAAGCATAGGCGGGAACGCTTCTATGTAACTTTGTGAATTGTTGAGATGAAGTAAACATTTTACGCTCACTTATTCTCACGCATTTTGGAGCATTTTCGCATGTACAGTTCTGTTCAACACAAATAAATCTCTTTGCAAAGTAACGGAAGGGAGGATGTGATGCAAACATCCCAAGGGTAAATTGTTGGCCCCGGTGAAACATGTTCATAAAGTTAGGCATAGCACTTGAAATGGTGAGGACGGGACAGGCTTGTGTATGTTTTGCTTGTCCCAACCTCGTGTTTTCAGTGCTGCTATTAGCTCCATGAACATGTCATACATGTGCTGCTTGTTGCTGTGTTTGATGTGCACTTATTTTTTGCGTTCTTTATGTAGAGGTTTGTTCGACTGGACTCTTCTTCAGTTTGTTTTTGTATACCCGATGAACAGGTACTTCAGAAACTAGTCATTAGCGACTGCATTTATTCTAGAAAATGATCCTACCTGTGGAAAGCATGTATTAGAGTACGTTGTAATCTATCTATGAACCTTGTGTGCACTTGAAGTACAAGGTGTGCACAAAAGCAACTTTCACAGAGCGCGTCGAGCCAAGAAAACTCTCCGTGAAAAAAAAACACACACAAATAACTTCACATTTATTAGCACGCAGCCCATGAATGAAATCCTCCATTTTCGTATTTTGCAAGCAGACTGTGTGGCACTGCTGAGGTGCAGAATCATTGTCTTATTATGAAAGAAATCTGCGGAAATGTAGGGCAAAATACGGCCCCGCTGCGGTGGTCTAGCGACTAAGGTACTCGGCTGCTGACCCGCAGGTCGCGGGATCGAATCCCGGCTGCGGCGGCTGCATTTCCGATGGAGGCGGAAATGTTGTAGGCCCGTGTGCTGAGATTTGGGCGCACGTTAAAGAACCCCAGGTGGTCAAATTTTCCGTAGCCCTTCACTACGGCATCTTTCATAATCATATGGTGGTTTTGGGACGTTAAACCCTACATATAAATCAATTAGGGCGAAATACGAGCACCCCATTCTGCGAAATGTTTCTGAAACTTTTTTTTGTGTTGTGATAACGTATGGAATACGTAATAACGTCTTGATTGAAGGAAGTGGTTGTATCTTGGTCATGGAGTACTCTGTTATTTGACCAGATGACAGATCGTTTTGTGTTAGGTGTGCTCACGTAAGAATTTCGCAAGGAGACTCCATCTTGAGGAAATAGTTGTATTTGGGGTCACGGAATCACTCTAAAAGCGCACAACCTTCAGCCTTGTCCGTAAAGGAGGGTCCTCATTTTTCACTGTATAGAATGTCACATTGGGGTTACTAAAGCAGTTGACGTTCGATCACGGTACAATTCGTTCTTCCGCAACGAGACAGCGGAAGTATTCAATTTTTGAGCCGTTTTATAGATTCGTGCATTTGGCAGTTATTGGCACATCTATAGGCAACAACAAGCCATTTTACGGTTCGTATTATCAAAATTGGTTGATTTCGTCAGGGCGAAGATATCAGAATATCACCCAGCAATCGCTTCTTTAGCGTGCATTACGGGTGGATGGCATAAAATAATTAACAAAGCAGCTGAGGGAAACAATGTGAAGCGAAAAAGTCTTCCGAGCTATCAAACGGAGCGAATTTTTAAAGCTGTCCAGCATTGCTTAGATCCCCGAGTAGCACGCCTCCAAAGTTTTTGCGCTGCTTGGACCCTCTTGGAATCGTATGGAATGGTTTGCGTGAGTGATGATATCGTTATGACTACCTTTATCGAACCATCTACTTGACATTTTCTTCTGCTGTGAAGAAAGCTTCAAAACGGAAAACTGACAATGCGAGAGCAAGTGATGTTTTCCTGACATTGCAGATGCACCATATGTACAGTTGCGAAGACGGCAGGAAAGCTTGAAAACGCTGGTTATTATTTTTTCAAATTTAGTGCTGTTTACCTCAAATGGTGCAATAAAAAATGTCCAGTAAAAGCACCATTACAGAAGTTCAATAAAGCCAGACAGTACCCATGGCGTGAACCTAAAATTTTTGTTGCCACACAAGGTCGCAATGTAGCCACCGGCGGCCACTTTGCTGTGAACTTTGTATACTGCGTGTGAAGTATGATTTCATTAAAAACCATAAACTTTATTTATGACGGCGCATATGAACTTTTGCGTTGATAAAAATACATTTACTTCGAGGTTACTCCGTATTTTCGCAAAAGCGGCTGTTATAGCGAACGCTGGTACGACGTCACAAAAATATTCAGCTTACAACCAGACCATGACTATCATTCTAGTTTCCAGCACAATCACCCTTTTGTTGGGCACTAAGGATTTTTGTACTGTTAGAGTTTTTGTTACTCAAGGATGAGTGATTTTCAGGAAAAATGAAGCACGGTAATGCGTGCGCAAGACTCGAAAGTTTTTTTTATTTTCATGTTCATAAAAGTCAAACCTAATTTACGCAGTGGCAGGCAGACCTACGTAGTCCTAAGCAAGTGCCCGTGCGATGACCTTCACTTTGGCACTTTTTCGTGCAGGCGTTCAAGTCTGGACAACCGGCATCACGGGCTGGAAGTATAAAGAACTGCGTTAGCAAAGTAGCCAACCGAGCCAAGCTTGGTTAACCTCCCTGCCTTTCCTCTCTATTTATCTCTCTCTCTCTCTCTTTTTTTTTCTTACAGGTTTTGCATGGGCTATTCGCCTTCTGTGCTGAAATGATCAAGCCCTCTGCACTGTCAATAGCGACGAATACCCGTCAGTGTAATTAGCCTAATGTCACGCCTACTTCTTTGCGCCTTTCGCAGCGCCTGTCAGACAGCAGATAATTTACAGACATGACGGAAATCTACCGCTTTTCAGCACAAACTATATGCGGTAATTTTTCCCGGATGACCTTATCAAATTTATTTCAGTCAATCAAAGACACTCTCAATATCATCCCGCTAATAACGTGATGCTAATATTTAGGCACATATTTTTACCATTTTTTTGTAGCACGATTACCCTAAAAGAGTTACTGAAGACCATTGAGAAGAAAGCTACATTTTTGGTGTAATAGTTAAGAATTCCATTCGGCGAGTCTGAAAATTATGTTCCAAATTTAAAGAATCTAGTGCGGATTATTCGGTTTGCAACACACTAGTGGCACGAGCCCAAGATGGCAATGCGCATCTGTAGGCCGCATATGATTGGTACAAGCTTCCTAAAACCATCGTAGGTGTCGCTAATAATGATTATAGCGTATAACAGCGAGTAATGGCATCTATTCAGTATTTTGTTGTTGTTTTAAACCGAAAAAAAGTATTTAGTCCGGTGATCTTTTGCTGGGGGATTGAGCTTTTTGTATTACATCGGGACTTATTTCACCCAGTTGCATGTGTATACAAAGAAAGATTGAAGATTATGCCCCCGACGTTGACAGGACACATTTAATGGCGTCTGAAGCCAGAGACTTACGCCGTGAGGAGGACAGGGTGATAATATGAGTTCATCACTGATCACCAATTTAATTTTACCAAACTGTCAAACAAGCAGTGATCACGTCGGGCCCGATTCAGGTTATCGCTTTATCTGCGTCAGTTCCTGCTACATAGGCACTTTCTGTGGCAGTTTGCTAGACTTGATAACATTTCATCCTGACTTAGCGTCTCGACAGGGACTATAGTCTGTCGTTTGCGTCACCATAGGAGTGATGCTTGGGCTGCATAGCTGTGAACCTTTTCGGTTTTGATCCCGGAGTGATGTTCAAGCTGATTTAAAAAAGTCATCAGGCAATATTTGATTAACAAGTCTTTTGAGGCTCCTTGTTGCTTGTTTTTTGTTTTTCAGTTTAATTTAAACACTATCATCAGTCCTACAAAAAAGTGCTAAATCCCTTCATAGAGAAACGCATTCGCTGCTCACGCTCCAATGAAGGGGGGGGGGGAAGATATCAATAGTGAGAGTGCAGAAAGGGCACCGCGAAGCTTAACAGCCTGTTTCTGGCTCCCAGTGCTGCACGGTTTATCTCTCAGAAATATAGCCGTCATTTTAGTGCAACTCAAATAAAGTTTGATAACACTCTCGAACCCTTGGAAACACGTCGCGCTGTTGCGGTCGTTTGCTTACTTCACAAATATGTAAACTACCCTTATCTATTCCCTCTTCCCCTAGAAACTCCCGTACGCATATCAAATCGACTAAACAACCACAGAAGTTTGAAACGCATTTACGGCCACACCCAAGCATATAACTTATCAGCAATGCCCACAGCCATTACACTGTGAAATGATCTTCCTAACACAACAGTTTCAATCACTGACCATACACTATTCCGCAACCAAGTATACCGGCATTACTTTCCATAAAAATATAGCTCTGTATAACTGTACATATCTGCAAATGTGTTCTGACTTAGTTCCGCGTGCTCATGTTTTGGCACCATGTATTTTGAGTACCTGCCATTTATTCAACTTTGTATTAGACACCACCATTGTAACTACATTGTTTTTGCATGCCCTTCCTCTATACATTATGTTATATTACCACATTGTAATTTTTTGTACTCTGTTGCTTCTGTTATATTTTGTGTTTTTTTATCGCCCCCCCCCCCTTACTCAATGTCCCTACGGGAACCTGTAAGGTAATGTGAATAATAAATAAATAAATAAATAAATAATAAGTAGTGCCGTAACGCCACAGACGGACACTCGCAAAACATGGACAAATGCCCACCACGAAGAGCACGCTAGACGTTAGTTTCGTAACAGTTTGCAGTAACACCTTCACGTAATCCTAGATAGATAAGTCTGCGGAAGGAAGGCGGCGCTCAGCTGAACTGCTGCGACGCCACTATCCTTCCGTCTACAGGCGAAACCGCAGTTCAGAGGCATCAACTGAGTCATCCATCTTTCTTGTAATGGCAGGTCTTGGTGCTGGAGAAATGGTTCTTTGGCGCAATTTCACAGAAAGAACTGCGTTGCGGTTCAGCCGCACAGATTTCCTAGTCAAGCATAGAAAGTTTATTGAATAAGGTGTTTGTACGTAGTCTCAGTCTCGCGAATGCCTGCGGGTGCTGCGAACTTGTTTTGACAATTTGAAAACTTTGCTGGTAATGGCAGTGATCACTTTGCTGCCATTCTTTTTTTAATTTTGCGAAGTACTTCCAAGCGTCACTAAGGCCTCAGCATAGGGTGCAGAAACATCACAAATGAACTTGATGTCACAACCATCTACAAGATAAAAAGAAATTCTTACAAACCCCATAAGTCACACTAATCAAGACAGCAAGATAACTGGCAAGTCAATGCAGTGAAGTTGCGCGTTCATTTCAATGACGACGCTTCTCAACGATTTTCGTTTTTCATTCTGTGGAACAAACTCAACGTGCACTGGGGAGGTTTTCGAGGCAACTGCTAGAGCACAGTCATTTTAATAAATATCCCAAAACTAATTTACGCAGCAATGCTATAAGAAATGAACATTCCACTTTGGCAATCACGTGGAGAATTGAAAAAGTGTTTCAGTGTTGCTGCTATATGACCTATATTACCATCTGCATGTCAACTTCAAAAAAGTGTCTTCAAAAAGTGGAACTAAGCAACCAAAGTTCCCTGATCTCTCGTTCGTTGAGCGTTACTCTGTGTCTCAATGCAATGACCTCCATATAGCTATATCATTGTTAAGTGCGGCGCAACAATATTTGTGACGGGCTTAAGTATCGCTACCTTTTTACTTTAACACTGTCTAATTTTTAAGTATAGTTGTGGCCCTCCTTCACCACACCTATAGGTCGAAGGAATATTTGCCGCTCATTCTAAAGTACTTAAAATATCGTTTGTGCTTGGGGCTCACTCTATACTTCATGTTTCGGTGAAACGTGACCTTAGTATTGTTATTGCTGTGATAGAGTTCCTTGCTAAGCGACATTTTCATTAATTTATTGATCAAATTTGCAGTGGTCTGGCAATAAAAATAGATGCCAGTATGTATAGCACTACTGAAAATAAATAAGTAAAACTGTTCAGCGTGGAAGTCGTTGAAAAGTCCCATCGTCTATACAATTTTATGAAAGCGAAGAGCAATATATCATGGCGCATATTTTTGGTATGCGGTTCAATCTTCCTTATGTTTGGGATCAAGGATTAAGTAACGCATGAAACTTGAGGAGTATCAACGCCAACTAAAAAACTTGATAATATAAGAGTCATGAGCTTACGCGGGGTAACTGAAGCACAGTGGTTAAAACGGGGTTATTTTCCAAGAAGACAATGGCGCGTTGTACTTACAGACTCGATGGTGCTGGTGCGGTCCTTCCTCTGCACTTGCGAAGTGTAGAACTGCAAGCACTGAAATAACGCCAGTATGAGAATTGTGCGACCGTTTAGCCTCGCGTTTTGGCTGTTGCTTGCAGGGACAGTCTTTGTTCAATTTAATCTACCTGGTCAGAATCATTCTTACTTTGTTTTCCAGAGCAAGCGATGAAACAAAAGTTGCATATGTGACCGTAACTAGCCAATAGCCAAAACTTATCTTGTAGAGGTCAAGGTATCGTGCTTTACTTGTACTATAGCTTGCTGAACAACGGCTCTCAAAGCACATCGCTGTTCTATTTTTTTGTTCACACGGACGTTTCAAGCGCAGGCTTAAGCTCACCGCTGAGAATGGCCAGCAAAGTGAAGGCTATGAAGATCTTCATTGTGGCAGACAGGTGTATCTTCGAGCCTGTTTTGAAACGAAGGCACTCGGGTAAAACTTCACTTGCAATGATTGATGCCTCCAGAATTTCGGCATAAAAAGGCACAGACACCGTATACCAAAAGACTTACCTGACAGCGGACTTGCTTTGCTGTAGCCGACTTTTGCTGTAGTTGCAGGTGTATCTGAGTAGTTCAGCAGATGCGCTGGTTTGTGGCCTTTTAAATGCTTTTCTGCTTCTGTTATCTCCTCAAATTTCAAATAAGCCCCTGCAAGAAAAACATTGCACTTCATTAAAGTGGTAGGTATTCAATAAGCTATATCCAAAGCTCAGCTAGACGACATGTACAAATGAGACGTACACAGACTAACAAGGTTATTGTAAAACAACAACAACAATTCCTCTTAGCACATTGTCTACTGTCCAGACTACCCAATCATTTTTGTGTTGTCAGGGTCCATATATTTGAAAACTTGCCAGATTATTGTTGATTTTAGCAGTGAAAGAACACGAAAAATTTTCAGAGATAACAGACTTGAAAGATATAATCTGCAAGGATATGAAGTGAGGCAGGTTGAATAACTAAGTCATCCATTAGGCGAAGCATTCGACCAAGTTTATTTGCCTCAAAACTTGCTGTTGCCGTTAGTGAAGCTGCTGTCACAGTCGCCGTCGCTTGAAATACTAGCTTTTCATGATGACGACGAATGGAATTTCTCCAAAATTTATTTTAGGTTGGAGTCCCATGGCAAACGTCTCTTTCATTCAGAGACAAACTATCAGGTACATGTCTTTTGAAGCACAATATAAAACCCATTGAGGCCTCCTGGGCACAATGCGTAGTTAATGTCGCAAGCCACCTTATCTGGTCAACCAAATTTATAATGTTATTTTCCCCTTGTCTCCGAACGTGCACATGTTGCTATGTTTATACTAAGTCTATTTAGGCTTCATTGTAGTTGTCATTCCTTTTCACGTCTCGCTCTATTGCATGAACGTTATAATTACGCACTTCATTTATTTTAATGTTTTTCAAGCAGGTGTCAGGGGTGGTTAATATATGATTTTGTCTCTTAACGAAGACATTCTAATTTAATCTCTGGTATGTGCGCCAGTGTGGTTGACACACGTTCGTTTAATAATGACGTTGAAAACGTTCTGAAATATGCGCACTCGGGCAGTTGGAACTGCCATTTTAAACATTGTTTTTTCATTGTGTAAAGGATTTATTTGGGAATATATAGATTCCGTAGATTGCATATATTCATGTGAGCCAAATACCGGCACTAAATAGAAAGTTGGCGTGGCTGTGCGGTATAAAATTCTTGGCCGCCACACACAAGGTGCAGGCTTTAATCATGTTTCATCATGAATGTAGTTCTCCATTTCGTTTCGCTGTTTTCTTTTGTTTCGCACAAGATCGGTTATGAACATTGGTGCTGGGGGCCGCGACGGGTAACTACGGCATCAAAAAAAAAAAACGAAAGGAAGAAGAGAGAGAGTGGTTGTGATTTATTAATGAAAGTATTGTAAAATATGGTGGGTTGTGCCTATTTTTCACATGCTCTCAATTAGACAGGCTTTGTAAGTCCTTTCTGGGAACCACATTTATGCCTTCTCCTGGCAGTACAATACGAAGGAAGAAAAAAATTGTCGTACACTTCAGGCGAAAGATTTACTGAACTATTTGATGACAAATAAAAGCTTTTCATAAGGAAGCATAGGTCTGTACTTTGGTCTGTACATCCAGCACAGTTGTCCTAAAAAATACTGTAGTGAAAGTAAACGTTAGAGTTTGCCTTTTATACCCAAGTAAAACGAAACAGGAATTGGGGAGTAATTCTCGCAAGCTTGTATGAAGAAAACAAATTGCAGCATATCCATGGAGCGAAAGATGATGAGTGTGACGAGGCATCTGACCGTGCTTCCATCAGTCCATTCGTTCTTGCGTTTGTCCGTCCGCGCGACCAACCGTGCGTCCGTCCGTGAGTTTGTCCATGCGCCTGTCCGTCCATTCGTGCGTCCATCCGCCCGTGCGTCCACACGTCCGTCTGCTAGTCTGTCTTTCCGTCCATCCGTGCGTCTGTTCATGCATCCATATAGTGAACACTCAAATTACCGCCATCTCCCATCGCACATCCACTCTGGCACATACCAGCTTTAGAGCGGGTATGTGCCCCCGGTGGCTACCTACTACTTCTACAACATACATCGGAGGATGTACAGATCCACGCCTTGTGGGAATATACAGTACCAAATGGCTGCATTGTGCAATCTGTTTTATGTAGGCTGAACGGGCCGCTAGTTCAAAATTAGATTTGTGATATTAGAACGCCGACCAGTAGTGAACCCTTACTTAAATTTGCAAAACATTGTAATGAACATGGGTGTATAGCAATATTTAATGAAAGTGCGTGTATTTTTTCGCATGTGAATCATGCTATCGGAAATATTGCGGAAGCTTTTTTACATAAAAAACGGCACCGTTTGTCTAAGCATGCCTTTCAAGAAAGAGAAATTGCTTGCTTGAAATGTTCTGCCACCCGATGCAGTAGTTTTTAAATCAGATTTTAATTTTTTTTATTTTTATCGTCTACTGTATGTCGTCAGCGTCTTTTTACGTGGCTGCAGACTGGGCTTTGAAATATATGTTCATATGCTAATAAAGTTATTTGTGAGATTAGCGCTGATGCTCGTGTCCCGTAATTACCTGTTCCCCGTTGTATCGCGCCGAATTCACTCAAAGTGTTTAGCCATGAACTCAAACTTTTTCCTATGCTAGTTGTGACGATGTCCCAAATGGTGCTGGTCAGTGGTGACCATGGCCGGGTCGCTGAATATTTGTAGAGGGGTGGCTATAGAGGTCTCGCTAAAGTGGCTGGTTTGCAAAGTACACAGCTGAAGATACTGAGGACAGTGGTTCAGCTAGAATTGCCTATCACCAGAACCAAGCTGACACGAAGAAGGACAAGACAATGTACGTTAACAACTTGGTCGTGGCACACCAGGTCATAAAACGCTTAGACGCTGTCGCCTGGCCCGAGGGCTCATTCAAAATAGCCTTTTCTCGCGAGGAGCCCCGCCGCGGCCGAGTAGCGGTTAAGGTACTCGGGCGCTGACCCCACAGGTCGCGGGATTGAATCTCAGCTGTGGCGGCTGCATTTCGAATGGATGTGAAAATGCTGTAGGCTCATGTGCTCAGATTTCTGTGCACGTTAAGAACACCGGTGATCGAGATTTCCGGAGCCCTTCACTACGGCGTCTCTCATAATCATTTGGTGGCTTTGGTACGCTAAGCCCCACAAATCATTTTCTCGCGGGGAGACCTTTGGTGATATCGGATGCAGGCATGTCTTGCCGAAAGAAGAGCTTATTTCGCAGAAAACCTCTAATCGCCATTGCCAGCCTTAATACAGCCACTGAAGGCTGAAGACCTTAACCATGTTTTGGCGAGGAATCCTTCACTGTATCTATGTTGGCTATGGTGTGTTTGCACGTATTCCACTTGAAGAGCACTTTATCGGCCACCAATAATAGGGCTAGACTGCATCACAATAGAAGAGTATCGCGAGAGTAGTTTACAGTTACATCAGTATTTTTCTATTGAAATGATGTGGTAAACTGGGCTAGTTGGATTGAGTACACGAGACATGTTCTTTCTGGTTTTTCGTGTCTTTTTGCGCGCTGATCTTGATGTCTATTGAGATCCTGTCGAGGAAAAAGGGGCGAGGTGCTGCAATGAGCCCGTGCCGAGGTCACAGCTTTATTTGAGACGCAGGCGTAGGCGGAGTCGCCGCTGCAGCATCCAGCCAGGCCAGGAGCTAAGCCGTTCTGAAATACCTCGTGGCTCGCACTACAGGAGCCACGTGGCTCGCTTCTTTTTTGGCGCGGCCACTTAGCCAAATCTAGCGTGGTGCTAGATAGGCTCTCCCGCTAGCGCTTTGTGCGATTGGAAACAGATTGTCATTTCCGGAGCCCTCCACTACGGCGTCTCTCATAATCATATCGTGGTTTTGGGACGTTAAACCCCACTAATCAATCTATCAAAACAAATTGTCACGGGGGTGAGAGAAAGGGAGGGACAGATGCTATATACATGAACGACAATCCGCAATGAGTCCATTCGGGAAGTCCAGGTTGTCAACGTGTATGGGCTATCGGGAAACAATTATTCTCCGGCGGGCGACACTGGGCAAAACGCAGTGGACGAAGATGAAAGCGCCGAGTTACTACGTTCATAGACACGTGCATCCCAAAACGACGCGGCGGGACCATTTGAAAGCGCACCCGCCGGTGCGAGTAGACGCGGCTGACAAACGTGCCCACAGCTGGAACCATGGAAAGGCGCTAAAGAGCTCGCGCCGGCGATATGGGCGAAGTAGTGTGAAGAATCGAAGCGCACCCATGATGACCGAGCACTGAAGTTTCACAGCCGCAGTGGTGTCTCGGACAGCGCACACGGTGCCGAGCATGCTGTCGACAAGGAGCCGCGGGGCGGTCATGCTGGTGCGGCCGTCTCTGTCGATGGAACACCGACGTCCACGTAGCACTGCGGCTGGCATGCTGGGGCGGGTGGCCGAGTCGATGGATGCGGAAACGCCGCGCATTGCGGTATTGCGGTTAGTCAAGTGGTTGGCTATTGCGTCGGGAAAACCTCGCAGGTGCTTGCACCGTCTTTAATGCCAAAGCTGCAACACATGGTTTTTCAGCAGGAAGCCTGAAAAAGGGCCGCTCTATATTACGCTGAACGTGATGATTTTGTCGGCATACTGTCAAGGGTGGCAGATATACAGTTGGACCACAGGTCATTGCTGTTGTTAACAACGAGCCTGCGTGGTGGACTGCGGCCGGCGTCAATTGCTCTGGGGAATGGTTGTGAAGCTCAGAAGACGTGGTCTTTGCTGGAGGATCGGACGGCACACCTGCAAGCGTTGAACGACCATTGGGTGTCCGCGCATGAGTGTGGGCGTGCAGGCCTGAATGATCGAGACAACTTCTACAGCATGCGTGGCATGTGTGGTCTGCTTTGCCATAGGCGCACCAGGTACGTCGTCTTCAGCTGCGTCAGACATAGCCGCAGCGTCTCGGAAGTTTTCTGTGGTTGACGGCTTGTGATTTTAACTTCGGCTGCGAAAGACTGCGAGGGCGAGAATGGTTGCTGCTGGCAGTACGCAGAGCTCGCCGATGTTGGTGGGGAGGCGCCTTCGGATACCGTCGACACTGAAGCCTCCACAACCGAGGGGCGAATAGCGGGAGATACTACGTGCGTAGTCGTGGTAGACTCCAGGGCATGCGGCGATGTAGCTGTCGTGGAGCCTGACACATCGGAGGTGTTAAGGGTGGTGGAGGTCGGCCAATCCGAGCGGGTGGCGAGCA